AAAAAAAAAAAAAAAAAAAACTGCAAAACCAATTATTTTGCCAACATCTGATAGGGACTTGATGAAGCGCTAATTGCTAGGTTTACATTTCAGGAAACAACTTATTTTATGTTATGGGTGCCAATTAATCCAAAGGCAGCACATGGCAAATACACCATTTACAACTAGCATGGATTTGATGCCCCAGAATCTCATTACCAGGTCAAGTTGTCACATGCGACACAACTACGTTTTTGTGCATTTCAAATGTATGCACATTAGTTTGTATCATGAAGGTATTCTTCCCTGCCCCCATCCCCATGCCATTATGCTTGGTAGTCACAGCAGATGAGATACTTTGAAAAGTTTTCCAAAAATCTTCTTTGTATTGGGCCCCAAATTAGCTCATCATGGGGAATTCAAACCCTACACCACTTTTGCAACTACAAGGCAGGCCTCTTTGCCATGTGCTATTTTTAGAGCAGGGCCCACAGCACAGCCTGAACAATACAAAGACTTGGGCTGAGCTGAGAGCAATGGGAGCTAGTGACAATGGTTGTGGCAATGAGACTGATGAAGAACAGTGCTCCCAAGGGCCAGTCTAATCGTTAGGCAAATGAGTGGTTTGGATGCTGGGAAGACATTCTCCTCAACTACAGTTGGCCTGATAACCAGAATTCTACATTTGCGAATGAATCCCTAAGCCATACCCTCTTTTGGCCTCCTGGTCCCCAATTGTCCTGATATCTGAAGAACAGAAATGTCTGAATTTCTACTCTTTGAGGCTGCATCCCTAAGCATGACAATTTATACTATATTAAGCTTGATAAAACATTATTACATATGAGAGTCAGTATAATATAGCAGTTTAGGAGGACAGGCTGTGAAATTCAACAGCCTAGCACTAAACTCCCACTAAGCTACATATTGGCCGTGCAACCTCAGGCAAGCTACTTATCTTCTCTGAAGGCAAGTGCCTTCCTCTTCTCTGGAAAGTGGGACTAATGACATTACCTGTTTCATGGGGTTGTCAGGAGAACTGAATACAGTATTATCCACTGTTTCTGAAAGTAAGCATTAAGATAAATACCATTAGGACAGACTTATCAAGCATCACCTGGCAAAAGTGCTTACTTTTAAAAATTACTTTTTTGCACGTGTAAAAATTATTTGTCATGTAAACATCTTTTTTTGTTGTTTTTTTTTTTAATATTCAGACAGAAAATCACGTTTCGGCCCTTTGAAAAATTCTGCCAGAAAAAAAGCCCAGTGCTTGAGAAAATGCTAAATTAAATCTATATAAACTCCGCATCCAAGCAAGCTGTAGGGAGTGAGTCTGTTAAAAAAAAATTAAAATTTTTAAAAAGGGATGAAGGGCTAACAGTAACAATGAGTTAAGGTGAAAAAATACATAGCCATTTGCACACAAATGGCTGGGGTTTTTATTATTACTATTATTTCTCAGAGGAGGAAGACCCATACATTGGTTATGGAGTCAAGGGAGGTTACCTGAAAAAGGAAAGCTAGGCCGCTAGTGCCCCTCTGGGTAAAGAATCAGGAACCACCCTTCCTTGATTAGTGGGTGGGTTCAAGTGAGCCCGCTGATTTGAACATTCCTACTTTCTCTATGCCAGGCACTGAGCCAACATTTTCATTGATCAAGTCATTTTCATAACATCCCTATGAGGCAGGAACCATTATTACCTCCTCTTTAGGACATGTAAAGGATATGGAAACTGCCCACAGCATAAGCATAACTCTCACTTGCTGTGCTGAGCAATTAAGGGGGGGCCCTGTGCCTTGCTACTCTTGATTCTGAAGTAGCCACTGGGGAAAGCCTAGCTCTAGAAATGTCTCATTCCAGAAAAAAGGAATCGTGATGATTCTGATTAAAGCAGGACTTGCCTCTCAAGAGTAATAATAACACAGTAAGAAACAGAAATTATGTCAGTCATTCCCGGTGTGTGTGTGTGTGTGTGTGTGTGTGTGTGTGCAAAAGAATGGCTTTTCTAAATTAAAAACAAAACCTGGCTCTGAAAACTAGAGCCAAATTAGTGGCAATAGTAAACTCGCTCATTTAAGGCATATTTGTGAAGTGCCTAGTATGTTACCATGGAGGAAATCGATTTGTCCTTTGCCCTTATGCACCTTAAAGCCTAACAAAGGACACCAAAACACAACACCTTTGAACCAAACTAGGACAGGAAAAGTTCTAGACTCAGGGAGCATAGAGCACTGTGGCATGTCTCAAAGTACTCTGAGAGTTATCAGATTCCTTGCTAGTTAAAGATGCCATATATTTAACAATTGTCTATGTCAAATGATCACTTTTAGACAATAATAAAATTGTATTTGCACACATTGTGTTGCTAATTTGGCTGCAGTTTAGAAGGAGTTTGGATCAAAGCTAAAAGCCTAGCATTTCCGAATTTTTTTTTGGAGTTATGATGTTGAACCCCAGGTGCGAAGCTCTCATTTCAAGGATAGTAGAGGGAGAAGAAAAGGGACTGAAGCCCTAAGAATAGAGTCAGAGGAAATATTAGTGGGATTCATACGGGGTTTTGAAGTCTGAGCAATAATGTGAGTATGGTCTTCAAGAATGACAAGTAAACACTGAGACCCTGGTGAGTGAACAGGCTGAAGATGGGATCACCTTCACAGAACCGCTATAAGCTGGTCATGAGATACACAGAGCCACCTCCGGAATGGAACTTTGACTTTCAGAGTACGGTCAAGAGAAGCTAGTTAGAACTCTAGATTTAGCATTAGAAGAAAAAATAATGTTCTCGCAGATGGTATTCATCAGGCCAAATATAAATGCTGAATGATCAAGATCAATTAGGTAAAGGTTTTTATGTTACTAGGCTCCTCTGATTAACGGAGATCACAAACTTTGGAGGTAACTGGCAATGCAGATCCCAACTGCACTTTCTGGCTCTGTAATGCCAGGCAAAGTCAGTTAATTTTGCTGAGTCTTATTTTAATCATAAGTAAAATAGGAAGGGTAAAACCCAGATGGCAGGATAGCTGTGAGGATTAAATAATAAGCACAAGTAACTCAATGAAGGGAATTTGTTATTATCAAAAATGATGTAAACTACCTTCTCTACACTACCTGTTGTTTGAAGTCAGTAGTTAGAAGTCTTTTTAAAAATATGCTCAGGTCATTCACTCACAGAGTAAGCAAAGACAACACAGTCTCTAACCCCCAGAGTCTGCAGATAGGAAACTGGACCAGAGAGGATATAATATACATGGTCTGATACTTAATAAGTACTCAAGCAAAGTTTCTCATTATTATTATTCAGACAAAAGATTTAAACCGAAATTATTTAGCACAATTGTCCTTTTCATTTCTTGTGATGTAAAATACATCTCCCTAAGATTATTTAGGCCCAGGTCATGGAGCCCAGCCACCACCAGGTCCCAGCTTGGTGATTCACCCACCAGAATGCAGTGCTACCAAGTACCAGGGGCTTATCTGTTTCCCAAATCATCTGATGCTGCTGACCACTCAGGAAACTATTCACTTGAATTCTGGCTCCTGGGCCCTCCCTACCATTTGGGTGTGGGTTTCCCCTTTCTGTGGAAATTGATGGCTTTACTTCAAGTCTCCTTCCTGCTGTTTCAGTGGCATTCGGCAAACAGAGTCATTTGTGATGTCATCACTCTCATTTCCATTGGCAGATTATCTCTCCCCAGTGACTAATATCAATCATTACTCCTCTGGGATCCAATTTTTATGAAGAATCAGCCAATGAAGACTCCCACTTAACCTACAATAACATTCAATTCCAGTAAAGCCCCAGAAGAAGAAAACAGGCTAAAAACTGTCCCTCCATTAACTCCAGGTGACCTTGAAAAGGTTTGCTTCTTTCAGAGCAAATTCTTACAAGGGGCCAATTTATTTTATTTTATTATTTCTTTTCTTTTGTAGAGACAAGGGCATGATATGTTGCCAAGGCTGATCTTGAACCATTGACCTCATGCGATCCTCCCACCTCAGCCTTCCAAAGTGCTAGGATTACAGGCATGAGTCACCATGCCTAGCCTTAAGAAATATTTCCTGAATACCTACTATGTGCCAGATCCCTTCTAACTACTTAGGAGAAAGTTGTGAAATATCAGTGAAATAGCTGACATGATTATCATTAAATACTTAGCATTAGAAGAAAAAGGGAGAGCTAAAGGAAAGTTATACATAGAATAAAAGCTTGAGGCAATTTTCTGAATGACTGACTAGCCATTTTCCCACAAAGCAACTCTCCAAACATCTAGCAATGCTTCCGATTAATCACTTATTCAGGACATATGATAATAGCTATGAACTTGAATGACTAAAACAGGATTTGAATCATGTTTCTCACTTACTAGATTCATGGGTGGAGTGGGGGTCAAATTATTTCACTTTTTCAGATCTGGGTATGCTTATCGGTAAAATGAGATTACTGACGCTTCCTTCCTGAAAGAGCTGTTTTGAGAATTAAATTAAATGCTATAGGTTAGCCCATGGTAAATACTCAATAAGAGTACTTATTCAGATAAAAAGTAATTATTCAGAGAAAAGATTTTTGCCTGAATTATTTAGTTAGCTCAACTGTCCTTTTCATCTCTCATGATTTAAAAGACATTTTCCTAAGATATATATATATATATATATATATATATATATATTTTTTTTTTTTTTTTTTTTTTTT